CTGCATGGGGAAATGAGTTAAGACAAACCATAGAGATCCTTGTATTTTATAGAACCAGCAACACAGAAACCTACCCCTTCTTCAACATTTAGTCCAGTGGGCGTGTTCACAAGCCACATAGACACAAAAGGTTAACAGATGCATTTTCTCAAACTTCTCACACTTTACCTCACAGGAACCATGAATGAAAGATTTGTGCTACCTCTTTCTTGACAAAGTGGATCACGGGCACTCTCATCCTGAAACTCTCCCCTTCACAGTTGGCACACCTGGAGTATTGGCCTTCACTGAACGAATCATGAGATTCTATTGCAGTCCACTACATCCATAATCCGGCTACTCCCAGAGAAATAATCTCACATGTAGCCAGCTCCCACTCAAGAATAACATAATCACAATTTCATATTTTTGTGTAACCCCATTTGGCTAGACCGAGAATTCCGAAGTCTGGTTTCCCCTAAGACTCACTCCTTAAAGACTTGAAGCAATTTAGAAAATACTAAGATTTAGCCTGAGCATTGTCAGACATAGAACTACCAGTTCAGTCAAATAGAGTCCCTTCAAGAGATATTTTATTTATTTATTTATTTTATTTTTTATTTTTTTGAGATGGAGTCTCGCTCTGTCACCAGGCTGGAGTGTTGTGGCATGATATCAGCTCACTGCAGCCTCTACCTCCTGGGTTCAAGTGATTCTCCTGCCTCAGCCTCCCCAGTGGGGGCGGAGTGGGTGGGTATTGCAGCCAACATGATGTCTGTGTGGAGTCATTTGACTTTGTCAGCACAGGAAATAAGGGAGTGTGATGGAGAATAATTGGGATATTTTACCAATCCCTTAGAGCTTATCCTACTCCTAGGTGGCTGCTCAGGGAACTAACTCAAAGGAAGCTGAAAAGATTGTTTACTCTATCAGTTAAAATGACCATCCTGCAACCTTGGCATATCTGTGGCTCCAGAGAAGAGAGAGGTCCCATCTACTTCAAGGATCTCTGGCTTTAGGCATGGCCAGCACCCTAGGCATTAGAACTATAATCTGATGAGAGAGCTGCAAAAGAATGATTCCCATTTTGGCAACTTTGTAAAGGATCATAAAATATTGTTGCAAGGGAAACATCCTGGCTGGTTAGCTGATTTCTTTCCAGCTTCTCCTTGTATGATGTTATTCACCAGACTAAAAAGAATATAAAACAGTTAAGTGAGATAGAGTAAACCAAGAAGAGACCCAGCAAAAGACCCAGCAGTACAGAATGCTGGAAGTCAGTTCTACCAGAAGAGTTTCTATCAGCAAAAGACAGTCGAGTAGACTTCATTTATAATCCCTGATTAGAACTGTAAATCATAATGAAACCATTAGAAACAATGGCACATCAGACATTGGTATAAGGCAGCAATGGTGCCTGAATGACAGGGGCTTCCTTGCTTCAATCTATTCATTGATACATCAAGAAACACAGTATGCCTTATATGTGTAGACCTGAGGGGAAATACTTTCTAAATTGCTACACGCAAGAAAAGCAACGATAGTGCACTCTATAAAATAACATGTCATGAATAAGCAAACAAAAATAAAGGTAATAAAGTTTTAGAGTGGGGAGAGAGCATTTCCATCAAGAGTCTTCAGAGAAGGACTCATAAATGAAGGAGAATTTAAGCTGATCTTCACAGGTGGACAGACACAAAGAATGAAGAAATGTATTAAGTATGGTTCAAGTATGATAATAGCATACAAAAAAACTAGAGAAGCAGGAACATATAAGGCATATTTACAGTATGTGTGGAAGGAGTGAGTATGTATATAATGAGACATATACAATGATATGTATCTATCAATGATCAATATATATATAAAAATGACTTCTCTTTCTGCTCCTATTCTATTTTACTTTTCTTGGCTGTGGCACCAATTGTTAGCTTTGTGACCTTGGGTAAGTTACTTAACTTCTTCTAGTCTCAGTTCCCTTAAGTGCAAGATGAAAATAAAAAATGTTCCTAACTTATTGAGTTGTTATACAATTGAAAATAAAGACTAATAGGCTGAAAATAGTGAGTGGGCCATCTTAAGCACTCAAAAAATGTTTGCTCATTCTTATTCATATTAGCTCTTCTAGGTTGCTTTCCCTTCATCCTCTTATGGTCCTTTCAACAGACTTTGAGCTCTTTAAGAACAGAGACTGTCTTATTTGTATTTGACCCTCCACATCTAGCATACTTCTGGGTGTGTAGTTGGTGCCCATAAATGTCTCTTGAACGAACTGGTCCTGGGTTCTATGCATCTATATCCACATTTCTGCATCACAGAGTCTCCAAGCTCACATGCTCTTATTCCCAGACCTTCTATTTCTGGACTGCACTATGCTCTCTTTCCTTTCCTGGTGTCATCTGGATTGCTTCTCTGCTATTGCACTCAATCTAATTTCTGTTGTAGTCCATGCTGTTAGTTTCACCTATGGAATTTCAGAGCAGATAGAAATGGTGATCTGTAATCAGTAATCTATGGTTCTGGCTTCTGACCTCCCAGTTCCATATAATAAGTTAAGTCTACTCAAATGTGAATCTTAAATTTTTTTTAAAGAGTACCTAGTTAACATGCCTTGTAAGTTCTACTCCCAGTAACTTATAGGTCCATTAAAACCATTAGTTGCCTAAAGGATATACAGTACCCTTATGCCTGTTTAAATCCTGGCAAAGATCAACCAACATCCACATACTCTAGAGGGTTACGGCTAAATTAAAAGATTTTTCCCTTCCCCAGCTACTTAGATTACCAAAAAAGATAGCCATGTAAGATTACTTTGCCTTTTCTGACTTTAAAAAGTTGCCTGCTTGCTACCTTTTTTTATCTGAAGCCTGTAGGCAGATTCTAATTTGGCCCTGCAAAAAAATCTGTTTGGCCCTGGGCTGAGGGAAGATGTTAATTTTCATGACTGTTTTAGAACACATCAAAATTCAGTATGCATTTTTTTCAGGATTTCAAAGCAATATGCTTAAAACATGCAATTTAGAGCTAGAACATATAGAGCATTTAAAAATATTCAGGTTTTACCAAGAATCCATCCGGTCTATTATTACAATAAGTAGGATACAAAGATATCTTTATCTGGTTGTGAATGAAACTCTATCTACATAGAAAAAAGTTCAAAGTAAAAACTGTCGCTTTTCGAATTCTACAGAGGTTCTCTAGGATGGACACTAGAAATTTGGTGTAGTTGAAAGGGATTACAAAATTGAATATGAATATGCATTAAGCCTTCCTTTAAAAATAATTTTAAAAGAAAATGGTGTCTAGCCTTTAACATCTGTTTTTAATATGTCTTAAGTAACACTTTTAGCTTGGTCAATAAATGTAACTAAAAATGAGTGAGCATATGACTCATCCCACCATGAATATGTGTTAAGACAGACACACTGAGCACCTCCACGGGCTTCAACCGCAGTATTTGTGTTCTCTTATGTCATGCAATGATGACTCCTTCCTTCCTGAGACCAGCAGGTAAGAAGAACTTTTAAAAATGGCCCAGATGAATTGAATTTGTAATTCTTCATCTCACAGATGCCAAAATGCACTTCTAGTTAGTATTAATGAATTTGTTCCTTTGGGGTTCACATTGTCCTGTTCTTTGGGAATGATAGAAGTTGGAACTTCAATGGAAATGTTACAGATGTAGTTTTGAGCTGAACCAAATTAAGGTTGTTGAAATTTATTCGGTTACTTTCTGCTTCTCCCACCCAAAGTCTACATGTTTCTAGTATCAAAATGGGATCAAATGAAATATTAAATAGCCTCCTATCCACGTGGAGACTTTGAGAGTCTAATTTGAAACAAAAGTGGGAGAGAAATGTGCAATGATAATTTTCAGGGTCACTTTCTTGGGTGAAAACCAGCTGCTTTTGGTTTTGGCCTCACTCAAAGATAGGAGACATGAAATTCATCTTCATGTGGCTTCTGAAATAAAGTAACAACTCACAGCTTTTCAGAGGCAACTGGATTTCCAGCATGCATTTTTTGCACAGGAGTCAGCCATTGCTGAGGCATGCACATTGTTACTTCCTAGAAACAGATATTCTATGATTGCAACAGTTAACATTTCCTGAGGGCCTACTGTGTGCCAAGCTCTCTGCTAAGCGCTTTGCACTTATCAACTCATTTAATCTCACAATGACCAATAATGTAGGTATCCGAAAACACCATTTTAAGAAGAAGGAAGCTGAGCCTCAGAAAGGTAAGTAGTCAAATGAATCACAGTTAGTGGCAACAAGCAAAGCTGAGATTCGAACTCAGACAGTCCAACCTTAGGGTCCTCACTTAACTCTCACACTGTTGCCTCCCTTCCACTGCACTGATAGTATCAGAAACTAAGAGCAATTTTAACCAGCTTAAGTAACATAACTGAATCTAAGGAAGTAAAATTTGAAGAGAAAGGGAGCAGGATGTAACAACCAAAGCAAAGGATGGGCATAAGGAGGCTTAGAAACAGCCTGCACAGGGAAGTTAGTTGACAGACAGCTAAAATGAAGCACACCTAAACAAGGTCAGCCAAAAGAAATATTTCAAGATATTTGAAAAGCAAAAATCAAATGACACCATAAATCTGTGAACCCTGGGAAACACAGCATCAGGGAGATGCACCCAGCAGGCTACCAAAGGAAATAGAATAGCACCAGGGACACCTATGTAGGAGATTATGCCAATGGGTACAAGAGCTTCAGACTGTAGGAGGTAAAACATCAAGGTACCCACTGGATCGACATTGATCCTAAGCACTCAAAACCTTTTTGAAGTTTTCTTTGGAACGGTTTTCAAAGTTCATGGTGAAAAGTCATCATCCGTTGAGAGTAGATTCAATGCTAAGAAACAACAAAACTTGTAATGATTGCAGTGAAAAAATGTTTAAATGATAAGCTGAATAACATAAACAAATAAACAAAAATGGAGTGACCGTAATATAGTCAAACTTATTTTCTTGAGTGCATAATTACAGAGTATAAAGATAGGTCCCAAAATATTTTGAGCATCAGTTTTATTGTTGGGATAAGTGGCTTTCAAAAAAAAAAGAACAAAAACAGGCACTAGAATTTTTATGTACTGGTATACTTATTTAAATATCCATTTCTTACATTTTCATATATCATGTATATATTTGATCCCAATCTGAAGTAATTTACTAAGTAAATCTTTAAATTATTTATTTCCATTTCTACAAAATTAAAATTGAATTGGACTTTATTTAGTGTATAAAATTGTGTTAGTTAGCTAGGGCTGTCCTAACAAAATACCACAGTCCAGGTATTTTACCAGCAGGTATTTATTTTTTCACAGTTCTAGAGGCTAGACTTTCAAGATGAAGGTGTCAGCAGAGTTGGTTTCTTCTGAGTCCTCTCTCTGTGGCTTATGATGGCTGCCTTTTCACTTAGTCCCCACATGATCTTTATCTCTGTGTGGCCATGCCTCTTGTGTCTCTTCTGAAAGTCCTAATCTGCTGTTATGAGGACACAAATCAGATTGAATAAAGACCCACTTAGCAGCCTTATTTTAATTTAATAACCTCTTTACAAACTCTGGATCCAAATCAGTCATTTTCTTAGATACTGGGCTTCAACATATGAATTTGGGGGTTAGGGAAAAGCATAAAATTAAGCCCATAATAACAGTGGTTATAACCAAATCTAGAGATACATTTTGATTTAATTTTAGGTATGTTTAGTTTGCCCAGCAAGTGATTCATGCCACACAGGCTTAGACTATTAAAGATATATAAATAAATAAAGATAAACTTAAATAAGACTGAAAGTCATTTTAATTAAACAAATAATCCCCTAGTATTTTGCTTTCAGGACACTTGCATTATTTTCTTTCTCCTTGTTTACCACATTCTGGATAAAAGACAGACCCATTGGATAGATCCTTGAAATCGCTCAAATTCTTTTTGAATGCAATTTTTAAAAGTAATTTTTGCCATTGAGAAGCTGTGGTGTTCTGGGCACTATGGATAGATCTTCTAAATACATTACTTAATTATCAAAACAGCTTTATGAGATAGGGAATATTATCCCCGTTTTACTAATAAAAAAAGTAAGAGTTAAAAATTGTAAATAATCTGCTCCAAATCACATGTTAGTAAATAATAGAGCCTAGATCCAAAAACAAGTCTGCTGGTCGCCAACATCCCTGTTTTTACCAATAATGTAAACGCCAGTGTCATCATTCAAATCTGGTGAAACTCAGTTCCATCAGATGAGATATATCTAAGACTGTGTAGCAATATCAAGGTTATGGATGATATTACAAACATTCATTCGACATATATTTATTGATTATCTAGGATGTGTTAAGCACTGTGCTAGGCACTGAGGTTAAGGTGATGAACAGGACACAATCTTTCAAGAAAAAACCTAGTTTGGAAGACAAACAATTTCAAGGCACAGCAATAAAATAGAGTAAGCCTTAGAGACTTTTATTCAATCAGTTGGCCTGCCTAAGGCATTATCTGATAAAAGTATAAGAAATCTTCCAGATTATAAAATACACTAACTACAACAGCAGTTCTTCCCATAGCACATGTGAATTTCGTTTTAAAATAAAAAATAATTCAACAAATGGCAAGAAATCATGCTTGCATGTTCTAAATGCACAGTTATATCGCATTCTATTCCAGTAAATTTCAACAAGGCTCAGCTGAATTGTTTCATTTAACTTTTACTATAACATTTTTACAAACCACACTTTCTGATCAATGATGCTTTGGCTATGGAGCTGAGTACATGGCAATACTTATCCTTCTGTACTTTGAAATCCAGCCCTCTGTTTACCAAGCATAAAGGCAAATGCTAGTTAAACTACTTTTAGTTCCATCTTTCTGATGTTCAAGTGCAGGAACAATTATCTCCATCAATATTTAATGGCCTAATCCTATGCAGACAGTGTCACAAGTGTAGGCAATAGTCCTGTTAACATGCTGTTAATTTTCAAGCATACAGGCAGAAATGGACTATACAGTTACTGAGAATGCGCAGCGGTACATTTCCCTAAGGTAAAATTCTCTCCGCACTCTCTGGTCTACCTTCCTTGATAATAAGGGAATTAGAAACATTTCAGAGTTGTGTTCAGTGGGTTAAGCTTGTGCACTCTTTAAAATTCATGGAGACAACGAAGCTTTCCCAGTTTTTCCAGTTTTTAAATAACAAGGTTTGTGACTCTCAGATTCAAGCCAAATAGCTCATGATCTCACCTACCCACAGTTTGGTTTGGTTTGGTTTGGTCCTTTTCTGAGTTATTGCTTTAAATAGCCATTATTACAGAACACATGTCATTGTCCAGGTACTTGATATCTAGATCACGGATATCAATTAGAAATATTCCTATAAAATATGAGATATCGATGCCAATGTAACAAAAGTCGTAAGAAATTTTAATGAAATACGCATAGTTTTTACAACTACAACATTAATAGAGAGAACTTCAGTAACCTAAATCATTTCATTAAGAAGGCCAGAGTGTGGACTGTGTGTGATTAGCTCTCTTTTCCTTTTATTCTCTTGAAAAGACTGAAGGCTGGAGACAGATGAGGGACTGGAGGTGGTTCGGGGGTGGGTAGGGGTAGGAGGGGTACCACCATATAAAACCATCCTTTGGGAGAAAAGCAACTTAGAGGAAGTGTAAGCAGAGAAATCATGATCTTTGAATCTTGACTCAAAGAGCAAGAGTAACAGAAGAAACAAAAGATCCTTCTTAATCTGTTTATTCGTAAGCTAGATACATTCCTGGGAGCTGTATTTGAGAATAAAGTCTGTATTATCTTCCTTATGATCTCAAGGTTGACCTCAAAAATTAGATAACATCCTCTAAGTCTGATATAATTAAGTTTTAAACCTAACTCAGTTAAAATTGTCCACTGAATAGAAAATTTCAGCAAATCTCCCACTTCAATATATTAATATTAATAAAAACTGTTTTTAAGATACTTGCATTTTTCTTCTTCCTTTGTTGTACTTCATGAGTCTTGAGATTTTCAGGAGTTAAAGAAATATCAAATAATTAGTCAACATTAAAGATCAAAGCTTAAATACATTTTTCTAAATATTAAATTAGCCTTTGTTGTCCAGTTACAGAAAGAGCAATACAGTTTGAACAGTTTGGAAATATGGTTGACTTGGGTGAACACGGTAATAGACACTTTTTACAGATTTAAGGGAAAGGAACTTCATGTCTTTATACAATTTTCTGGTTCTTGTAAAGAAAAGTGCAGAATGTCATTGTAAGAATATTTCTTGCTCCTTTGCCAAATACAGTTCTTAAGTACTATGTTTATATAACCATCTGTCATGTTTACACAGCAGAACTCAAAGGCAGAAATCTCTCATTTGTCAGAAGCATGGTCATGCCCATAAGCCTATCTATTATATAAATTATTTTGGAGTAGATTAGAATCTTTCACTATGTTCATTAAATAAAAAGTAGGGTTGAGCCTAATGCAAAATGGAGAAGCAGATGACTGTTTGTAAAACCCTGCCTCCTTCCTGCTGCTCTCCACTGGGGCTGCTTATTGCCTGGTATTTTTCACTGTACACTTCATCTGGATGAGGTTCCTGCCCATGGCCTTCCCTTCATTCATTCAACAAATATTTGTTGAACACCCACTCTATGTGGTTAGGTATTGTTCCAGTCAGGTTTGTGGGTATATCAATGAACTAAACAGAGATCCCTGGCCTCCAGAAGCTTACATTCTAAGATGGGAAACAGTAAATAAATATAATAAACAAGTAAATTGTATGAGATGTTAGAAGATAATACGGCTATGAGGGAAAAAAATAAAGCATGGTAAAGAAGGTGAGTTATTGGCAAGGGGTGGCAAGTAGAGAAAGGATTGTACTTTCAAACAGGATGGTCAAGATAGGCTTCACTGAGAACATGGCTTCTGAGTAAAGAAGTTAGCCATGCAGACTCCTGGAGGAGAGTTCCTACGAGGAAATGACCTATGCCCCAAGACCCTAAGATCAGGGAATGCTTGGTGTGTTCCAGGAACCACAAGGACGTCAGCCTGGCTGAAAGGAAGTGAAGAAGAAGGAGAAGAGGGAAGAGGAGAAACACCCTAAAGGACAAGTGGGGAATCTGGATCTTTCACTGGGAAGACTGGCTTTTGATTTGTCTTAAATCTTATTCCACAAAGTTCCATGCTTTAAATCTCAGAGCTGACTAATCTGAATGATATATTTATATATTCATTCATTTAATCCTGTATTCATTCATTCAACAAATATTTATGAAGGGCATAAGCATCATGATAGGCAGTAAGGAACAGATGTAATTCCTGTCTTCAAGGAGTTTACAATCTAGTGAGGAAGGCAGCCAGCAATCTGATAATTATGGAAGGAGGACTCTGAAGACAAGGAAACGGAGGTGCATGGTGCTAGGGGAGTCCAGTTTAGAAGAACTTGACATCATAAATTAGGTCAGGGAACACTGCCCTGAAAAGGCAGCAATTAAGTGAGAAATGAAAGATTTATAGGCACTAAGTAGGTAAACTACAGAAAAGTATTTCAGGGGAAGGGCAAATATAAGATTCCTGCAGCAGGTGGAAGCAGGGTGACTGCAGGAGATTGAAAGAAGGCAGAGTGGCTGGAGCTCACAGAGCAGGAGGAGAACAGTGGGGATGAGGCTGGAGAGGTGAGCAGGGAGATGGAATTGAATGTGCTGGGGCTCAGAGCCCGCATTAAGCAGTTTGTCTTTATTCTAAGCCCACTGGGAAGCTGTTGAAAGATTTTAAGTCAGGTAGTGACCCGATCAGATTTAAGTTTTAAAGATCACTAATCCATATTGAATATGTATTAATGAGTTTATGTATCTATCCTCTAGATAATTTGTTTGCATTTTAAAGAAGGCATTCTAGAGATAATCCTGAACTCAAGAAGGTCCTGGTGGGAATTTTAAATATTGTAGCAAGCTGATGAGAGAAAACAAGTTGGGTAGGGAGATTATTGAGCAACCCATCAATAAAGTCAGGGAAAGAAGTCAGATTCTATGTGTTAATCCTGTAAAATATGGCTTCTGTTAATCTATTAAGATGTCACTGAAGAACAAAATATTGTTTTGGTGTGAATACTAAATCCTTTTCATTTCTTTGATAAGCATTTTGAGGCCTGGTCTTGTTAAATGACTTTCCCAAGGTCACAGAGAAATTTTATAGCAGTTTTTCAGTTTAAATTGGGTTTTTTAAAAAGTGTAATGGGTAAATTAATTTAAGACTCACACTGAAAGGTGTGGACATCTTAGTAATTCCCAATTCTTTTGTTTTCACTTCTAAAACATTATGGAACACTTATGTCCATAGAGCCTTAAAAATCCTGCTGTTCTCTGGGCACAGTTCATAAATCCCAGTCAATAGTCTTGTCTGCAATATCTTTCTCACAGTTGTGTATTGAGTTTTCTCAAATTAGTCCTCAGAGGGAAAGCTGTTTTGTGTGTACCTTTCCTCTTCCCAGC